GTGAAGGTATAGTTTGACTGAACGTGGATTACGTTTAAATCCACCTTATTTTTTCCCCTCGAGAAACCATGTTATTGAACATCTTTAATGCTTGATAGTGAATTTGTTGAAAAATTCTCCCTGTATTTTTGGACTTTTAACATCATTTTTTGTTTTTATTTCTTTTTTGTTTTTGTTTTTATTTCTTAATTTTTCTTTTTCAATAAGTGAGAGAGTCAAGTTGAAAGAGTAATCATAATCATCCACTTAATACAGAAATTTGGGGGATTATAGCTTTCCCTCGGAGCTGCTCTTATTCTGTGTGTTAAAAGCAAGCACTTTCTACATGTAGGTAGACCCATTCCTAGGGTATGTTGAAGCGGGTGATTCTTGGTACTCACTCTGAGAAACCTACTGCTGCTGCTACCCACAGCTGAACAATGACTCAGGGATGTGGCTCACAAAGGGGAAGGAAGTGGCTATGCAGAGTGGCTGTGAAGTAACTGGAGGCCCAAACTAAAATACCATCGACCAAGTCACCCTAGCCCCAAACCTACCATAATCAAAAGTGACAACATGGAAACAGCCACGCAGGCTGCGTGAGTGCATTTGTCATTTGAGCATTCCCCCATTACAGCTCTTAATGCTTTGTCTCTGGTTATATGAAATGAAAATGTATGGGATGAAGGAGGACTGGGAGATTGACATATAAATTAAAATGAGACCACAATAGTTATGTTTTTAAAGGTACTATATAATTGCATTTCTAAAAAGTATTCACAATTATCTTTCCCTAAATGCTTCCAATATCTCAATGAGTAGGGAATATTATTCTCATTTTACCAGTGAAGAATATCTCGTTAATATAGGAAAAGTATTTGATCTTACTGGCATGGTAAAAAAAATATATTTAAAAGTACCAAGAAAGCAAGTTTTAACCATCAAACTAGTGAAAATATGTATGCCACCTAGCTAGTAAGATATTAAAAATAGGTAGTGTCTTACGTTAGCAAGGTTGCACTGAGATAGAAATTCTCTTTCTTCTGGTAGAAGTACACATTGAATCTTTCCAAAGAACAATTTGCAATGTGTATTAGGCCTTTAAAAGTATTCAGACCTTTGGAAACAGTAATTTTATTTCTGAGATTTCCTTCTAAGGAAGTAATAAGAAGTGTGGACAAATTTTATATCCAGAGATGTTTCTCACAATGTTCTTTCTAATGGTGCAACCTAGGAAATGGCCTAAAGGGTTAACCACAGGAAAATAGCTCTAATAGATCTACAAAATGGAATATTATGGAGCCCTTGAAAATGTTTTTGAAGTACTTTTAATGACATGAAAAGATTTTCAGAATATAATGTTGAGCAAAAAAAGCAAGCAAAGGGACTTATATAATATTATGGTCCCGGTTCTATAACAAAAGTATATATAAACCATTTAAATTAAACCAGAAGAAAACGAAACTTAGTTAACTTTCTCAAGGTCACACAGCTGCCAGTAGAGGAGCCACCACCTAAACCCTGTTCTTCTGACACTAATCCCAAAGTCTCCTTCCCCATACCATGGTGTCTCTGAAAACATTTGGTTTGAGCAACACATCATTGCTTGCTTAAATTTTTAGAAAACAAACTATTCATGGATTTATGGTAGACCCCATGACTATTTTGATAGATTCAAGGCTACAAGTAAGCTTTGGAGTATTGCTTAGTTTTCCCAGACCTGAAAATTGCTGACACTACACCCACATTTAGGACACTCAAGTATGCTAAATTCACTGCTGGGACTCAGTTTCCAAAATGTCTAATCTCTGCTAGTTACAAAACCTCCCTTAACATAGAGAGCCATAAAGAAGAAAGAACCAATATAGAAGATGACTTGAAAAGATTTTTGTTGTTGTTGTTTCCCCATCCAAGCAGTTTTTAAAACTGAACTAAATGGCAAAATCACCAGGATGATCTTCTAGAAATTCAGATTCAAGTTCCAATACAAAAGGTTCTATTTTAGTAAGCCCAGGATAGGGCCCTGGCCTCTGTTTTTTCTTTGTAGTTGTAGATGGACAACATGAGTTTATTTTTCCGTGGTGCTGAGGATCAAACCCAGTGCCTCACACGTACTAGGCAAGCACTCTGCCACTGAGCTAGAACCCCAGCCCCTGGCCTCTGAATTTTCAAAAGTACTCTGGGCAAGACCATCTTTGAACTATTCTAACCAGTAGTAGAAGTGTGTCCGATGAGGTCCCTCCAAGCATAATGAGTTATACATGGTGAGTCCAGTGTTTGAGGTTAGAACAACTCTTCCCCAGAATCAGGATTTGTTTATAACTTGAGTGTTCTAGACACTGAGTCCAGTAGCCACGTGGTTTAACCTTGCAGTGGTTAAAGGGGGATCACCTTGTCTCCCATTGCTGATTATATTGGTTATTTGTTGCTGTTTACTGACTGGTTCACCAGATCTTAGTGGCTTCAGATAGAAGGGTCCAGCCTAGTTTCTATGGCTTAAAAATCTGGGCACAGCTTAACTAAATGCTGGTGGGTCAAAGTCTGTCTTGAGGTTGCTGGCAAACTGTTGTTTAGGGCTGTGGTCTCATAGAAGGCCAGAGAGGGGGAGAATGGAGAAGGGTACCTACTTCCAGGCTCACTTCTATCATTATTAGAGGTCTGTATCCTTCTCCACTGAGCTAATTCATACCATGGTAGCAGACTTTTCATAGAAAGAGTATTCAGAGAGAACAGGAATGAAGGAGTAAGAGGAAGAGGAAGGAAGAGAGAACAAGGAGAAGAGAGCAAAAGACTGTACCTTCAAGATGGAAGCCACAATCTTCATATGATCTCATCTTGGAACTGATATTCAGTTACTTCTCCATATTTGTTAGAAGTGGGTCAAATCACTTCTAACTTCACTTTTTGGGCTGTCTTAGAGGGTGCTTGTCACTGTACCCTAAGTTAACAGCAGAGATAATATTCCACACCAAACCACATCCATTTCTATTTGACCCTTTCTGCTTGGTGAGGAAGTGGGGCTGGTTGTTTAACTACTCTATTTACAGTAGTTAAACCAATAGGTCCAAAGCAGAAGAAATTTGAATGGTAGGTCAATGCCTGAGTTATCACACTTACAGAGGCAGCTATGGGTATCACCTTAGTTATCAATGAAGACACTTAATTAGTCAACAGAATCACTTATTCTTCTTGTCTTTAAAATGAGTTTCACAAGACTTTGGGATTTATTGTTTTCAATTCCTGTCTTTGATGGCCCCAACAGTGGAACAACACTCAGTTTTCCTAGAAAAGATACTTGATCTTCACATCCTGACCTCAAATGCAAATACATCCCTAACTTCCACCCTCTTTGGAAGATACATAAAAAATATTGAGTAAAAATAACACATGTATTTATTCATATTTTATACATATGAAAAATATATATATGTGTATATGTGTACGTATGTATATACATATGTGTATAAACACACATACACATCACTTTTTACTGGAACCATATGAGGCTCTTCAACTTATACCACTTCCAGCTCAGCCTTGGTAGCACAGTCTTCTAGTAAAGTGAACAAAGCGGGTGTCCAGACCCAGCCAGTTTATGCACAAGACCTACCGTGTAAAGTTAAATCCAACTTGCCATCTGGTGGCCAGATGACCGGTGCTACAAGCATTTTCCAGCATCTCAACTTGCTGTTGAGTCAGAGCCACAAATTAAAGCTGCAAATACAGCTGCTCCGTGGCTGCATTTAGAATAGGGTATTTTCTGTCTCTCGCCATGAAATCACTGGTGAGGAGGGAGTCCCCTTTGTCATTTCAGCTGCCAAGACATTTCATGCTAACGAACTGTGAAGGGGAAGTCACTAATGGTATGAAATCCCTTTTTATGACCAGGGCTAGGCCAAGGCCACCAGAGGGGAGGTATTTTTCCCTGATGGACCATTAAGAGAAGTTCTCTGCAACTGAGGCTGAGCCCTCTATTCATGGAAGGTGGGAGGACAGGCTAATCCATAAGCAGTACCCAAGGACTCAGGGGACATTGGCATGATGCCATAAGCCACTATCCCTCTTCAACATGTCAAAGTTTGAGATGGGAGCTTAGGTTAGCAAGGTTCAGAGGAAAAGGTAAGAGGAGTGACTTTTGCAGACCACTTAGGAAAACGAAAAGCAATACCCCAGGTGCCTGTTTGAGTTATGGAAAGACTCATAAAAATGGCTATCCCATTGAAGTCCATGTCCATCCTAACTCAAGCCAGCTGATGGCCTGAAGACTTCTACAAAGGGGCGAGCGAGGGAAGTGCATGTGTTACACGGGAAAGACCCTGCCTTGCAATCAGAGAACTTCATGCGTGTCTTGTTTTATTGTTGGCAATGTGATCTCGTATCAGACACGAGAACTTTCTGAGTCTTATATCCTTACCTATACAATGTCATTAACTACTTCATATTATTGTTTTCAAGCTAAGGGAGGTTATAACCAGAGAGAAGAATATTAAAATCATGTCACTATTAAAAAGTCTATTTTGAGCCATTCTGCCACGACAAAAATTTTGCTATCAGAGGTACGATTCTTTGGGATAAAGTTTTGTTCTGCTGGAACAACCTCCCACCCTGGACACCTTCTTAAAAAAACATCTTTGAAAAAAGGTAACAGAATCCGTGAGTGATCAGTCAGTAGATTTCCCCAGAAAATAGGTATTAAGTGCAAGAGGAATGGGCAAATGAGAGAGAAGTGGATTTGAGAGGAATACAGACAATAATATCATCCAAGAATGGAAGTGCAGCTGGGACCTGGCAGGGGGGAGAAGGGGCCCCCTGGGGGGCAGACCACCTGATCAGAGCCTGCTATTTGAGTTGGTTAAGTCTGTAGCTCCAGTCACACTGTGGGATCTTATTTCTTATTCACCTGTGTTTCTCTACATTTATTAAAGGGCTTGTTGTGCAGTAGTTGTTCGGTGAACATTTGTAGAATAAAAAAACTGTGCTTTGCAGACTTTGCCCTTTTACTCAGGGTCAGCTATTAATCAGCTGACTAACTCAGGCTTTGGGGACACTTCTGTGTACACTTCCTTCCATGACCTCTGTCTTCTTCCTTGTGATATTTCTGAGGTGGGTGCAAAGCTCTGCGTCTGTGGGGCCTGCCAGCCCTGCCACCGCTTTCTAAGTTCACCAGGGATGTGTGTGTATGAGGGGGTGGCCCCTCCTACAGGCAGGTCAGTCCTTCATTATCTAAGACGTGAGGGGGGTGGGGGTCTGAATGGGCACTGACTCACATGCAGGTGTAGGTGGAGTCCCTGAGTCAGGCACCTGATCAGGTGGAACAATCAACATTGCCATCAGGGGCCAGAGAACCTGCCAGAGCTGGCCTGAGGTGGTCGAGTCCAGGCACAGGCCTCTGGCTGCTTTGGGTTTTAGTTTTTAATAGTAGACCTTCTCTGATTTATTTTATGATTCTTCTCTTTGAAACTAAATCGAGCATCCCAGCTCTTGGGTTATGAGGGGACAGAAAAACCTTCAGAAAAAATAGCAAAATAAGTGAGCAAAAACAACTTGCTTGTCCAGTAACCAAGAGACTGAGTTTAGGGGCCTAGAAAATTAGGAAGTTAAAAATTAGTGAAGTGTCAGATTGACTTTCACTTAATTAAAATAGCAGCCCAAATTTCCCTTTTTGTCTAGAACCTTCTGTATGGATTTGAGGAGTGCCAGATGCTGATCCTTAGAGCAGATTGAAACACTCTCCCCATATTTCAGTGACACAAATACAGAGGCTACCAATGCCTTTACGAGATAATGACCCCAAAATAGCAAACTTACTGAGATCCATCTTTGAGAAAAAAATTTCTCCTTGTCGGTATTTCACCCTCTGATCCAATACTGTCTGTCTGTTCCCTTTCTTTCTTTCTAGAAGAAAAAGAAATTGAAAACTATTCCTGTCAAGGCATATTTGTGTGTGTGTGTTTTTAAATAAACATTTAATTGAGAAAGGAATCACTAATGGACCAAAGTTTAGGGGTACAGTGGGAATTTGGTCATGTCCAGGTGGTCTCCCTGGAACTTCTCAAACTCACCCCAGGAAACCTTTCTTATTTTTACAAATGGGCAGGGGCAGGATGGCGAGGGGGGGGGTTCTGAGGTTCCAAATGTTTCTGGAGGAGAATAGATGTTCCTTGTATGGGAGAGCCTGCTGAACTCAACAGGGTGAAAATGATAATGTAGCTCTAATCTATCAAGCATAGACCAGATGCCAGGCGCAGTATGAAGCACCTTGTATAATATTATGCCTCTCTTTTTACAGCTTTCTTGAAGTGTTGTTGATGTGCAATATACTACACATATTCAATACTGTTATAATTTGGATCTAAAATATCCCCCAAGGGCTCATGTGTCAAAGGCCTGGTCCCTAGTTGTTGGAATCATTGGGAGGTGGGGGAAACTTTAGGGGTGGCCTAGTTGGAAGAAGTAGGTCACTGAAGGTGTGATGTTGAATGGTCTATGGAGACCCTGAATCCTTCATCTCTCTTTCTTTCTCTGCTTTCTGGTCACCACAAGGTAAAAATAGCTTTCCTCTCGCTTGCCCTCCTGCCATGATGTCCTGCCTCACGACAGGCCCAGAAACAATGGAGAGGAGACGAGTGACCGTGCATGGAAACCTCTGAAACTGTGAGCCAAAATCAATCTTTCCTTCTTTGTTTATCTCACGTACTTTGTCACAGTGATAAAAAGCCAACCAGCACGGATATGTATACTTTGAAAAGTTCTGATATATGTATATGTCTATGAAATGACCATGAATAATCCATTATGAATAATCCATCATCCCTGAAAGTTCCCCGCTGCCCCTCCCTCCTGCTTCTCCCTGGCCCACATCCTTATCCTCAGACAACCACTCACGTACTTTCTGTCAGTAGAGATTCATTTGTATTTTTTAAAACTTTATATAAATGGAATGGCACCATATGGCCTCTCTTTCATCTGACTTCTTCACTCTGAACAATTGTTTTGAGATTCATCCATGCTCTCAAACATAATAATATAATGCATTCCTTTTTATTGCTGAGTAAATATTCCATTGTATAGATTCACCATGATTTCATTATCCAGCCACTTACTGATGGTCATTTGAATCATTTCTAGTTTTAGAGCACATTGTAAGGGAGTTTTTATAACTGAGATAGTTTTTATAACTGAGTTTATTTCCTTCAGTCCCTAGAGTAGAATTCCAGAAAACCTACTTTTCGGAAACAGGCAGATGTTAAGTTCAGTCCTCTTCAAGAGATCAACCCTGTTTCCATTCACAGTGCATATATTCAAAGGCTTTCAACTGTCCAGCTCCATCCCATCTCAGAGCACTTATCTCAGTAGAGATGCTGAGAGCTGAGTACACAGTGCTTACCGCAAACTTGGTCTGGCACACTGAAGCAGGGCCGCATTCCAGTTCCCTGTTTCCCAGAAGCTCTAGACGTGTGGGCACCATCTTGACTCAGCAGCTGGGATTCTTCAGGACCAGTGTGGATCACTGCCAATGTAACATGCAGTGAAACTGGTCCCCGGCCTGGCTGGTCAGGTCTCTTATCATGAAAGCTCTTCTGATTCCCTTTCTCAGCTCCCTGCATAGGGCATAAAGCTGGAGGAAGAGGTTCTGGAGTCAGCCATCTCCCAGGCAAGAGAAACGGGGAGACACTGACAAAAGAAGATGAGGGCCATGGGACACAAGCTCCATTTTGGAACCATTGCCCCAGAGCATGGTAGAAAAGGCCTCTTCTCTGGAAGTTCTCACAGATGCTGATGACAATTCCCAAGTGACAGTGGCCCTCCATTAGTTCCTCTTAGAGGACTTTGTACCCTCGATGGCCACGTGATCAGCTTGGGTTTTCAGTTTATCACAGTCATACCTCAGGATGAGTTAACACTGCTTCTTTGTCTGACCCAGAACTGTACCTTCTCTGCACTACATCTCCAGGCTGGGCTAGCTAGTGATGTTTGATTACATTCTGAACTTGAGGTCCTATGTCAGTGGCCCAGGATTCATGCTCAAAACTGTCTCGAATGTCTGTTTTCTTACTACCATATAGCAAGGGTAGAAGAAATGTTCCTAAAATGACCTTTGGGAGGCAGATGTTCAGCCCGAAAGGAGAAAGAGTTCTGCTATAGTCAGAAGTGAAAAAACAAACAAACAAACAAACAAAAAAACCCCCATGAATCTACAATATATATGTCAGGAGCACATTGTCAGGAACATGTGTTGGGGGCAGACATGTTAGAACAGCAGGAAGGGCCTTGCCAGGCCCAAGCAAGTTAGGCCATACTCTTTGTTTGGACCATGGAAGTAGTCTTTCCTAGTGGCTTTAGTTACCTAGTTCAAGAGCTGCAAAGAACTGGCTGGTCATAAACCACGCGCACGTGCACACACACACACACACACACACACACACACACTCTTCAGAGGCTCAACAGCACATGCCTGAGCTACACAGCATTGGACAAGTCACTGGCCTCCATGTGTCTTAGCTTTCTCATCTGCACAATAAGGAAAATCATTGACTCTTCTTCAGGGTTTGCTGTGAAGGTTACATGTGGTTAATACAGGAATTATTTAGCACTGTGGTGGGGTCAGCTCTGCTCTTACTCTAGTAGGGACATTCTCTTGCCTTAACACCTCTGACGAAAAAGTCACTCCCAGAATTTTTCAGAGGAGACCAGATGAAGGTCCAAATGAGTTTCCTATTTTTCCCAGAGGAGAAGGGCAACCAGAAGACATCTCTGCTCAGGAATGTTTCAGTGAGATATTGACATGTGGATAAAGGTTTATTCTCTTGAATCTGTGGAGACAGATCTGAGGGAACAGTCTGAGCTTCTGGGAGTTTTATCCCAGAATCTGGGAGATTATTGATACTGTATCCAGAATAAGGTCTTTCCAGCCTGTGAGATTACTCCAGCACTGAGAATCCACAGGCAAATCTGACAGCAAGTGAGGGTTTCTTTGCACTTGCTCTCAAAAGTCAATTTCCTCAACTGCAGCCTTAACTCCCTGGGATATTTCAATTAAACATCCACCTACCCTGCACCATGCATGGGTGATTACATGTGTTACCTAAACTTGCTATAAAATTTTGAGGTATTTTCCAAAGAAAGGACCCTGGTCTGAGACCTTAGGACAGGAATGCTCTCTTTACCTTATAACAGGTTAAAATTTTTAAAAATTTTCCCTCACCCTCCCTTCATGTGCTATAGGTATATCTATGTCCATATTTTTCAAATGATGTATCAAGTGACTTAAATCTCAGCAAAAGATGGGCATTACTGGGACTAGGGCTGTGACTCAGTGGTAGAGGGCTTGCCTAACATGTGTAAGGCACTGGGTTCAAACCTCAGCACCACATAAAATATAAATAAAGTTAAAAAATAAATAAGAAGAAAAGAAATCATACTGATGTTAAAAAAAAAGATGGGAATTACTGCCCTTGGTGATACCCTCAGATCTCATTCACATTACTTTTGTTATCTTTCTTCACCTTTGGGAGGAGAGGGGAGATATTCTTATTATGTTCATGACAACTAATCACTCTCTGTGCTGTCCGCCAGCTTGGTTTACAATTAGTTTTGTCTGGCAGCCCATATGGAAGTGAGTTCAGACACCTGAATGTGGGCAAGCATATATGTGTGTGTTCTATTTCCTTTTATTAACTTAGGGACCATTTCTCACCTTGTTCTCTAACTTTGCAGCCAAACTGAATACAGGGCTCTTATTGATTTTTGTGACCTGGAGTTGGGTTTCTCTCAATGAAAATGAAATATACTCAGATCAGTTTCACAGAGCATGGAGCAAGCAAAGAAATGAGGCATAAATTCAGGTGCACCCAGGTAGAGGATGTGGTTGGACTTCTTTCTTTGGGCAGAGGCCAGCAGCTGCAGTTGGGCTTAAACTGCCAGACTGACTGTACAGGGCAGATTTCTGGAGCTTTCACTATGAAACCCAATTCACCTTATTTACCCTATTCTATTGACATGAGTTCTGCTTGCAAAAGAACTAACACTATAGACTGTATATCACTCAGCCTACCTGGAGTCCTAATTCTGAGCTCAGTAAATCTGAAATGAAAGATCTTTTCTGCTCTTTGCTTGTGTTTATAATTTTTGGAGGCATATGTGCTAAGGAAAGAAGAAATGTTTTCATTCTATAGTCAACTTTGCAAATGGCATTATTGTTCTCTAAACCAATAAGGTCTTATTTTTTTAATCAATGGAAATTGGCAACTGTGGTGGGAGATTTGAATAGCATTTCTGCTGTTTCCATTGGGAAAACAGCTGAATGACTTCTTATCTCTCTTTGGTGGAGTACTGGACTTGATATCTTTATTAAAGGCCATTGAATTGTTGTTTCAGGGATGGATTTTGACCCAATGGAATATCCACACTGAAGAAGAGTAAGTATATTTCTTTTCTTTCATTTCTTCCCCCCCTTCCCCTTAATCTCTCTCTCTCTCTCTCTCTCTCTCTCTCTCTCTCCTTATTTTGCTTTATTTTTTAAACACAAGCACTCAGACTGAATTTTCTCCACTTGAAAAAATAAGGAAAAGAAAATGTCACCATTGGCAATGACAATTGCAATGAAACCCTCACTGAAGATGGACTTCATACTCAGGAGAGAACTCTACACCTCATTTCTGTGGCTTCTGGTGCCCTGTATGTTCAGAGAAACATCTCTAATAATAAATCATAGAAATGGTCCCTGCCAGTACGGGCTTCAGAGTGAGTCTATTTTTTACCTAGAAGGGAAATGCCATCCACCTGAGGCTGTTAACATGATGTTTGGCCTTCTCTTAATTACCGAAGAAATTAAATTCCATAAAATTTTCTAGCCTCAGAGTTTCACGTGTTGCAAAGGGCAGAGCCTGCAGAGGTCACTCATTTTGAATATTTTTCCTTTAATTATTTGTTCAATGATATAAAAAGACTGCTGGCTGATTGTTTGTTGTTTTTCAATGAAACTTCTGTGAAAAGAGTCAAGGTAGAATTTCCTCTCTATATTTTGTTTGCTTACTTTCTTCCCACTTCTCTTTGCTCATCTTGCCAAAACTAACGTTTCTCTATGGCTTTGGTATGCTTTATCCTCTAGCAGGACTTTTGATCTCTGAAGATTTAAAGTTTGGAATAGGCATTGGTGGCCTTGAGTTTACAAAAAAGCATTCTTGATCTCCATAATGTCTTGCTTTTTTTGAACATGACTTCTTTCATTAATGTGGTTCCCCTTATATAAGATCCAATTATTAATCAAGTCAAAAGAGTATTGGGAAAATATCTGGTGAATTTGGGACAGTCCAAGGAGGCTTCCATAAACATTTGAGAAGTCTCAAAGCTCTACATGTAGAACTGGCTTAGGAATCCAAATGGGGACCAGAACCAAGGAAAGACCAATAGTCTCTTCCTTAAATCTAGTTGGGGTTGGTCTAACAATTCATAAGGAACAATTGTAATATTACCTTTTTCCAAGACTGTTATTCATTTTTCTTCAGAAAAAGGTAGGTCTCATTTCCTGGTTATTGTGCAGCATCTTAAGCTCAAACCAGTAGGACCAGTGCTCCGGGCTATTTCCATGAGGCCAACATCTGTGTTCTGTTCCACCACCTGGGTTCACAATTGCCCCCTGCGCTTCATCCATTGATCATTAGATGAGTTAAGTCTGTGGATAAACTGAGCACATTCACCGCACTTCTGTAAACTTCCCATGAGGGAAAATTATGCTGTTTGAAAGTCTTGAATTTGTATTAAGAATTGCGTGGGTTTTGTTTAAAGAATTGTAAGAAAACAGGGCCAAACTGATAAACTATAAGAGGTCTCACTTTAAAAAAAAAGACAGAAATAAATTTACTTTTGTGGAAGTAACACATTCTGTAGTTTCTGAAATCCCAGAATTCCTTTATTCTAATTCAAATGGCTATTTATTGGTCAGGGTTCTGAGTTGCAAACAGAATCCATTCTGGTTCGTTTAAGCAGGAAAGGGGTTTATTGAAGAACATCAAGTAGATCGTGGGAAATCAAGATGGGCCAGAGAGTAGGCTCTGAGCCATCTGGGAGCAATGCCTGGCCATACCACTGGAGATTCTTGGGAAAAATTGTCTTTGCCACCATTGCTTTGCATCTGGGAGGAAACTTAAGATGGTATAAGGAGCTCTGGCAGTGCTGTTCTCAAAGATCTAGGTGCCTCTACCATCACACCAATTCCTTCTCATGCAGCCAATTCCTCAGGCTGCTCATTTCCAAATCCAAGAGTCTTATGTGTCAATTTAATTTGTGGAATTGAGGTTACCCTATCTAAAAGGAACTCCAGGTATGCAAGATTTCTATGTAGCCCTACCCTGGAATGATGCAGCTTATAACTTGGAATATCGTCCAAAGGTGTGATATCATAAAAATTAAAACTATTTGTGCTTCAAAAAACACGATCAAGAAAGTGAAAAGACAACCCATAAAATGGAAGAAAAACTTTGTAAATCATATAGATGATAAGAGACTTGTATTTTTTTCTGTGTAAAGAAATCTTATAACTCAGCAATGAAAAGACAGATAAGTGAATTAAAAATGGACACAGGATCAGAATAGACATTATGTAAGAATACAAATGGCCAACAAGCATCATTAGCCATAAGAAAAATGGAAATCAAAACCACATTGAGATGCAATAAGGTACCCACTAAAATGGCTGTAATCAAAAAGAAAAATAATAGCAAGTGCTGGTGAGGATGTGGAAAAAAATGTAACCCTCATAAGTTGCTGTTAGAAATGTGACATGGTACAGACCCTTTCGAAAACCAATGGGCAGTTCTGCAAAAGGTTAAGCATAGAATTACCTGTTTCCAGGAAATTCCATTCTTAGATATTTACCCAAGATAACTGAACCATGGGGCTGGGGATGTGGCTCAAGCGGTAGCGCGCTTGCCTGGCATGCGTGAGGCCTGGGTTCGATCCTCAGCACCACATACAAACAAAGATGTTGTGTCCGACGAAAACTAAAAAATAAATATTAAAAAAAAGAAAACCGAACCATAATTCACACAAAATCTTTCATATGAAGGTTTAGAAAACCATTATTCAAAATAGTCAAAAAGTAGAAATCACCCAAGAGTTCATCAATAATTAATGGATAAACAAAATGTGTGCATCCATATGGTGGAATATTATCTGGTCATAAAAAGGAATGAAGTAAGAATACATGCTACGATCTGGATAAACCTTGAAAATATTATGCCAGGGGAAAGAAGTCAGTTACAAAGGAACTAAATATTGTATGATTTTATTTATAGGAAATGTCCAGGTATGAGTTTGCTAGGGTTGCCATAATACTACCACAGACTGGGTAAGTAGGTGGCTTAAGCAATATAAATTTATTTTCTCACAGTTGTGGAGGCTGGAAATGTGAGATCAAGGTGTTAGCAGGGTTTGTTTCTTCTGAGACCTCTGTCCTTGGCTCGGAGATGGCCATCGGCTCTGTGTCTTCACATGGGCTTCCTTCAATAACTCTGCCCAAATTTCTTCTTCAATGTTACTACTCATATTTGACTACAGCTCATCCTTTTGATCTCACTTTCACTTCATCAACTCCTTAAAGACTAAAGTCACATTCTGAGGTACTAGGAGTTAGGACTGCAACCTTTGAATTTCAGGGGGACATACTTCAGCCCTCAACAGTCAGTAATAGGCAAATATATATATAGAGAAAATAAATAGCTTAATGGTTGGCTGGGCTGGAGGATGATGGGGATTTGGGGAGATGATGGCTAATGGTTCAGAGGTTTCTTATTGGGGTAATGAAAATGTCCTGCTATTGCCTGTGGTAATGGCTGCAAAATTATTCGAATATACTGAAAGCCATGATATTGTACACTTTAAATGGGTGAATTGTATGGTATATGAATTACATCTTAATAAATCTGTTGCCAAAAGAATAAAAAAATAATGAGGAAGTGCCCAAACGATTAAAGTTTATTACAGGAAATTAGTACCATCCTCAGCTGAGAAATAAAGAACAAGCCAGGAAATAACATCCCACGGTCTCTATGGATTAGGCTGAAGTGTTCCTCCTGCAGCCTTATCCTAAATCACCTTGACATGCCCAGTGGGAGCACTGGTGGGGCTGTTTTTGCTATAATTCCAATGTCCTTCTGGAGTCTTAGGGAACAAGGTGAGATGGCTGTGACTGATGTCATCCCTTTAACGTCCAAGATGAATGTGGCTGCTCCCATGAGTGTCCCTTGCCTTGACCAGAGCTCGGAGTGCAACCTGGAGATCTGTAGAGTGTAGAAGGGGATCATCTTCTCAGAGTCACAGTCTTTCTCAGTCCTGGGATGTGTTTATTTCTAAGAAATAGATTCAACTGAGAAATAAAAATGTTTAACTTAGAAACAACAGAGACTGCTCTGGTTGTTCATTTGGCCTTTTTACAGTAGGATCCCTTAATCCCCATCTGGCCCATTTGCATGACTGGGCCTCTTACTTTTCTTCTCCACTGTGGACCTTCCTCAGATTCTGGTCACTTTTACATTGACTAATTTGCTTGTGGTGTTTTGTATGTTTATTTTTTTCTTGCTATAAGTTTATTTGAGGGCTTATCATTGCTCTAAAGAAGTATGTACAGGAGAAAGTACTTGATAATGGGTGGAAATGGGAGAGAAAGGTCAATGAAAGCTGCTTTGAGTATAATATTGTGGATTTTGAGTATTCGGGGATTGGTAAAAGCAAGGAAGGAAAAGTGGAGAGAAATGGAGAGAGAGGAAAGATGCTTCAGGCTGAGTGATCGCTATGAACAAAGTCACAGAATGCTTGAAATAGCCAGGAGCACAAGGGCAGCTGTGAGTCCTTTGATTTGGCTGCAGTGCGGGGCAGGGCAAAAGGTCAGCCTGGGTAGGTAGGATGAGACCCAATAGAGCCAGGGGCAAAAGAGAAATTGGCCAGGCTATGTTACCACAGACCCTTAAGGTATACAGGGCCATCAATTTAAATCACCAAACGTTATTCAGAGAGTGGCTTTTTTTGATTTATATTGAAATCAGCTCAATTATTCTAGATAATGGTATCCAGCAAATTTTGGGTGGAGCAATGTAATGGAATTGGCCCACATGAGCATTTGCAGTGAGTATCCAGATAAAGTTGACATAGATAGAGAAGAATGCAAAAGGGCATCATGATAGTCTCTGTGTAAAGGGAAGGAAAAGCCACTTTCAGGCACCCCAAACATAAGCCACAGATGGTCCAACCCCAATGAACTTCAGGAGAAACCAAATACAACCAGTCCAGATGAAGCCACATGGCTGCAAATGCTTCTTTCACAAGTTTTTAATGATACTTCCCTACTTCCTCTGTCTGGATTCAGAGTCAGAGATCTTAAAGCTAGAGTTTCCAATCATGACAAGGCATCCCTGCTTACATCCATGTACCCACACACTCATCAATCCATATACATATCCATCCATTCATCCATCCATCCATCCAAGTTTTGAATCCTTGTCTACCTCATGATACAGTCTTTGTACCTGACTATATTATGAGGTATACAATATATATATTGGTTGAGAACACACACACACACACACACAGAGTTATGGTTTATATTTCAAATGTTCTCTAAAAAGCAATGTGCTAAAGGTTTAGTTGCCAACCTGTGGTGCTATTAGGAGGTGGTAGAACGGTAGGTGGGGGCGTGCCTAGTGGAAGAAAGTTAACTCATTAAGGGGATATAGAACCCAGGCCCCCTCCTGTCTCTCTCTTTGCTTCTCAGCCTACATGAGGTAAACAAGCCTCCTCCATCACATATTTCTGCTGTCATTACCTACTGTGCTGCCTCAGGCCCAAAGCAACAGGCTCAGACAACTATGAGCTATCTTTCTGAAACCATGAACAAAAATAAAGATTTTCTTCCTAGAGATTGTTTATCCCAAAGGACAATGATGCAAAGTTGACTAACACACACATTTTCATTTTGCAATGAGTAAGTGAATGCCTAATGAAAATTAACCTTTCCCATAACTACCAACAGAGTATTTTTGTACCAGGAAAACCTATAATGACAAGGACAACATTACAAACTCGTCTGAGCATCTTACTTATAAACACACTTGCTGCTTAATTAACTTTCCTATCCTCTAGTAAATGAAGCCTCCTTTCCTAATGCAACCTCCACATCAATTTTGGTGTCTGAAATGATTTCTAATGACTAGCTAGTCATTTCCCTCAAAATCCTTCCCCTAAATCTAAGTGATAAATACCACACAATTGCCCTCCAACTCAAATCACATCTCCAACTCAAATCACAATCCTCATCCACAGTAAAACAAAACAAAAAACCCCTCATATCTGGGTGTTTTCTTAGGAAACATCACCTATGTTTCTGCCCATTCCCAACCCCTGTTGTTTTGGAGCACATCAACCTCATTCCCATTTGACTCTTGGCCTATATCTTTGCACTCTTATTTGGGAGAAGTGGGATAGTGAAGGCATTTCCCAAGTTCTATTTTGAGAAAGGAGTAAGCTCAATGACTTTTATTGAGATGGGACAGACAGTTGTGCAGTTGCACCCCGAGTGACACATTGGCAGAGTCTTTATGCTCATCTCTCTCCTGGAATCCTGAGATGATGGACAAGTCAGAGAGGATGGAGAAAAGGAAATTTCCCTATGTGTTGGCTTCCCCTACTCTGGTCTGGCTGCCTCTTTTGTAGACCTCTATGTTTACATTATTCTCAAGACTTTTGCCATGTGGTAAGTCAAGTCTAGAAAATGCAAGAAAATAAATTCTCCCCTAGAGCTCCCAGAAGAAGCTAGCCCTCCTGACATCTCGACTTTAATTCCAGTAAAACTGATTGGAGTTTTCTGGCTTCCAGAATTTTCAGAGAATAAAATTGTGTTCGTTTAAGTTACCAAGTTTATGGCATTTTGCCACAGCAGCCATAGGAAACTAAAACACTCCACTTACTGGACATTTCCACTTACAAGTTCACCTCTTTGAATAGAGCTCACAAACTCATCATGATGTTCCCAGCACTGGGCACACTGGCACATTGTTAATTAGTTCTCTAAGGATGCAAGTAATAGAGACACATTCCAATTAACTCCAATAAAGGATATTCATCATAATGATACAAGGGAAAGAAAAGAGTTGGCAAAACTGTCCCAGCACATGTCCTGCTAAGTCTTGTGGTTACTGGAACATCCCTTAGCTAATAGTGTTAGTTTTGGTCATTGAACATCAAGGTCAATGATACCCTAACAACAGCATCATTAGTGAGCATTCCCTCAGACATGGAAGTCCATTTTAGTGACTCAGCTTATCTTTCCCCTGAAGCCATCAAAAGATACTGTATCTGTTATTTCAGTTGCCTTAAAGAAAGAAGCTAGTATTTTGCATCCTACCCAGTGTGGGATTCTCCTTGGGGCAAAGTTGTCTCACTTAACCAGATTCTGTGATGCTTGCTAACCTATAGATGGATGTCTTTGGGTTGGGTGCTGATCCTCTGGTTCATACAGCTGTGGTCAGGGCAACAAAGTTGTGTGTTACTAAAATTGGCAACCTAAAGGTGTGTTGCTGAGCACAAGATGGCTGTGGATTGGCAGTCATGCAGAGTTCAAAGTCCTCCCCCATTCAATCCACTGGTGTGTATCCAGCTCTCAACAAATGCTTCTTGAGGAAAAATGACCCATGAAGATACACAGTCCCTGCCTATAAGGATTTTATATGTAAAAATCAAAAGAAAAAATATATGGAGCCATCAACAATAGGGCAGCTTTATATTTGATAGCCTTGTATCTCAGTATAATAAAGCATTCTTCGTTGGACAAACAAAATTAGCAAATATTATACTAACAATATCCTTTCCTCTTCCTACTGAGAAATTCTGGTATGGGCAGGTCTGAGGTTTAGCTCCCAGTAGATGTAGTAGTTAGGTTTACTTAGGCTATGAGCATAGTGGGGTAAACTGAGGCTCATTCTCCCCCTCTCTACCCTTCCTTATCTCTGCAAGTTGTGGGAAAAACCTGGAGCTCAGGGAAAAACAATTTAAACATGGCACCTTGAATATTAACATATTATAAGAAGCATTAATAATAGCATATGTTTAGGGCTCTAGATTTTATGAAATAGAGAGTCATATTATGTTACTAGAAGTACTATAAATTGGAACCTAGTTAGGAGTCTGTTCAGTGAAACAGATACCCCTAGTGAGATGTTTTGAATTTCAGAAATTTGGAAGAACAGATTTTAGTACAGAGTAGAACCCCCCCCCCCTCATCTTTCCCCCATTGAAAGAACTAAAACTCCCTCCTCCCTCCTCCTGGGAGTTGGCCGTCACTGAGGAGGATGCCAGCGGCATCCTGAGAATGCTTGACATTGCCAAACTGCCCATCACTAGAAGAGTCTTGGGGCCGGACGCCAAAGTATTCTTAAAGGAAGGAAGAGGCTCCCTGGAGAAGATGGTGGGGGAGTCGAAGCACTAAAAGAGCAGAGAATAAAAAGCCCGATGGAGGGGAAGAGAAAGAAGGGTGAGTTAAAAGAGAGGGCATGTCCCCGTAGGACACCCTTGGAAACACTGGACAGAGACCCCCTTCTGTGCAGGGTGAGGAAGGAGGAGATTGGCCTGGTCCACAGTGCTTGATTTCCTCTCCCTGGGTGAGTGTGGCTTTGAGTGAAAACTGACAACTCTCCATACAGATCCAGGGTGCTTTTGATTTGGAAGCAAGGAGAAGAAAGAGGGAAGGGAGGAGAATAACTCCAGTCCCCCATGGTCTGTAGGCCAGGGTCAGTTTCTTGAGGGTGCTGGGATGGTTCAAGACAGGCTGCAATGAAGATCCAGGGAAGCCAAGGCAGTAGCTCCAAGTCACCACATTAAAAATACACGAGATGTTTGGGTGGAGGAGCAGGCAGACAGGATGCCTTTGGCATCGACTATTATAGAGCCCACTGACTACATACACATTGTTTTAACTTTAAATGACCAAGGTGTCCCAGCAAAATTTCCCATGTGCCAGAGATGGTAAATGGAAATCAATTCTCTCTAAAATGATGTGCATAAAATATCACGAGACTCTTTGTTTGATGCTTTGCCTTTAGAGAACTATTTTAACAAATATAACCTTACTTGCCCCAAATTTTATAGATTGACGTGTTACCTTAGCTTCTCTAATCGTTTTCTTCTCATAAGGTCACATATTCCTCAGCTGGAAATTCTTACACCATAGATGTTTTCCCCAAATCTCCCCCATTGGACAGGAACAAAATAGAACAATGGTCCAATTGTGCAATACTGCTATTGCTGGGATGTACTGATAATTATAGGAGGATAATAATAATGATAATAATGGCCATCGTGTGTTCACTGGTTACTACATACCACCCACAGCCCTCTACAGTTCAAATTATTTAATTCTTCCAACAACATGGTAAGATGTTGTTTGTTATCCCCATTTCACAGATGTGGAGTCTGAAACCAAAGAGTGTGACTTGCCCCAAGTTTCATTAACTAATGGGTAGCTGAGAGAGAATTAACCTAAACCCACCTGAGTGCAAAGCTCACGTTTTAAGAGTGTTTTTTTTGCAACAAAGATTTTGGCTGAAACTGAGGAGGCATGAGAGAGAGGAGACAGCTGGGACAGGATTGGGGGAAAGGTAGTCAAAAGAGCATCATTGTTCAGTAGACAATATTTGCAAAGTTAAAGGAAAATATTTTGACAA